TCACGGTCCTTCACCACGCCGCGCCAAAACCGCTCCTCCAGATAGGCCCTTAATTATCATAAATCACGTCGTTTGTCAATGAGGTGTATAATAAGATGGTGTCTGGTAGTTGACAGTTCGGAAATGTGATGTCCGGACATATTATTTTCTCCTTATATAAGGAACTGCATAAAATTGGCTAAAAAATTCCATTAAAATTTTTGGGCTTGGGTTATTTAATTCAAGTTAATCTTGATCAGAGTGAAAACTCGAGTTAATTTTTGAGAGATTAGTAATTTTCAAGTTTAATTTACTAAATTTAAAGCCTAAACATCAATTAGGTGTCCTAATAAATAAAATTAATCATTTTAAATAAACTCAATCCATGTCTTTTTATTTAATCAAATTTCCAACAATTTAATTGTGACAAGCATAAATATATAAATTTATATAACTAATGAAGAAAACTATTTGGCTCAGTTTTTATTTTATTATTATTATTAATTTGAAGAATTAGAATATAATTTAGTTGTTATGTATTAAATTTCTCGCATACAAAAATATAAAGAGTTAAATAATAGAATATATTCCTACTCAAAACTGAGTATATTTGTTCATAAGTTCCTAGTCATATATTAGGGCTGAGCAAAAGTATTTGGGCCGGTGAGCCCATTGGGTCGCACAATTTCAAACGATCCACATTATTCAAAATAGATTGTTTATTTTTTACTGAAATTGAGTGTCATTTTAGCACAATTTAAGGGATGAATTATTATTCAAGCGAGTGGATTAATTTTTTCTTGATAAATTCGTAATTTTCATACTAATTAGTAAGGCGTTGTTGATTTAAAAAATAGTTCTTCTATTAATACAATTTTTTCTAATTGTTTATTAGATAAGATAATAATTAACTCAATATTATTTTAAATATTATATATAATATATATATATCAACAATACCATTCACTAAATAGTAAATAAAAGTAAAATTTTACTATACAAATTTAGTATTTATTTATTATTTTTATTATGCAGGTTAATAAAATTTAATATATTAACCAACAATTTTCTCAATATTTACAGCGTGTTTGGGGCAGCTTATTTGGCGCCGTGCGTTCTAAAAACGTTGGATGAAGTGTTTTAAAAATCGTGGTGTAGTTGTGTTGCTTATAAAGTTATGTTAAATGTGGGCCACAGTTTCGACCTTGAGACCCGCATTTATTTGCGAACCTATTACTCGTAGCACCTCTAGGTGCCCCCCACTCACCGTTGTCGTCTCTCTCGCGTTTATGCTGCCCTAGGTCACACCTCACTTAATCGCTCCTCTCTTACGCCTCTCTCTAGTGGCAACAGGTTGCCTTTCTCCTTTACCTCTTCTCTCCAATCTATGGTGGCAATATTGCCTCTCAACTCTCTCTCTTTCCTCTGATCTCTATCTCTCTGTTTGTTTATTGTGATCTCTGTCATCCCATGGTATTACCTATTTTTTCGATGGAATGACTTTCTCTTTGTGATTTTGGCTTTCTCATTTGCGATTTGAAGTGAGAAATTGAATTTTGCAATTTTGTGATTAAATGTGATATGAAATGGGGTTTTATCTATACCTTTGATGTTTAAATGTAAATTTGCAAATTGGCGGAAAGGAATTGCTTGATTTGTTGATAGCAATGTTTTGGTGCCATGTATGTAGTAGCCTCAAATGAAAAATATGATATTGAGTTTTATATAAACTTTTGATGTTTGAATGAGAATTTGAGAAATTGCTGAATGAGAGTGTTTGATTTGTTGATAACAATGTTTTCGGGTGTCCTGTATGTAACTGCATCAAATGATAAAATTGGGATGAGATTTTATCTTTACCTTTGATAATTGAAAGAGAATTTGTAAAATGGCTGAAAGGGGGTGTTGGATTTGTTGATAGCAATGTTTTGGGTGTCGTGTATGAAATTGCATCAAATTAAAAATATGCCATGAGGCTTTATCTTTACCTTTTATGTTTGACTAAGAATTTGAAAAATGGCTGAAAAAAGGTGCTTGATTTGTTGATAGCAATGTTGTCGATGCGGAGGTGGCGGTGTACGTTGGTTTGTGTGTGGAGGTGGCGGTGTACGTTGGTTTGTGTGTGGAGGTGGCGGTGTACGTTGGATTCTTTGTGAAGGTGGCGGTGTTATGGAGGTGGTGGTTGACGTGTGGTTGTGTTTGTATTAGATGATGTGTTGGTGGATGTGTGGTGGTGGTTGTTGTGTGGTTGTATTTGTTTTAGAGTATGCGTTAGTAAATGTGCGGAGGTGGTGGTTGATGTGTGGTTGTGTTTATATTAGATGATGTGTTGGTGAATGTGTGGAGATGGTAGTGGTTGTTGTGTGGTTGAGTTTGTGTGGAGGTGGTGGCGGTGGCGTTGTGGATGTGTTGGTGTCTTGATAAGTTGGTGTGTTGAGGTGTTTGACTGTAGAGGTGGTGGCAGTAGTGATGTCTGGGTGGGGTACTATGAGGTGGAAGGGCATTGATGATGATATTGAGGCATTCATATTTTTTTTCGGGTTGCGATATTGTGGCATTTCTATTTATGTTGAATAGTTTTTTTCATGCTCTAATACATTGGTTAAGACAAAAGAGGTTGTGATGCATTGTGGGTTAAAGAGAAAAATTAATATTTTGCGACATTTGTCTCAAGGAGGTCAAACTGGAAAATGTGCTCACAACCTATTTCAACAAAAAGGTTGACAAAATATTATTAGAAAATTCAAGAAAAGTAAAGACAAAGAGTATGATATGATGCATTTAAAAAAATAAGTGTGATCAGCTAAAGAATGATTAGAAATTCTAAAATAAATTGAAGTGAGACAACGAACATGGGGTAGGATATGGTAAAACGAATGATTGATTCTTCCGAAGAGTGGTGGGCAGAGAGACTGACGGTGAACATTTTTGAAATATACTCTATTTTAGTCAATTTTTAAATTGTTTTCAAATCCAATGACATGTTGTATGAATTTGTAGGTGGTGTCTGCTACAAAAAAAATAAATACATTAGAATCAATCTTGAGCTAGAGGAGAACTTAGATCGTATGTTTGGAGGTGTTATGGCAACGAACAACAATGCATGTGCATCCAGTGAAGCGGTATTTGGTGGCATCCCCGAAAATTTAGGAGCTGATCAAACAAACGATTCCAATGAAAGCCCTAACTTGAAACTCCATGAAGTTGAGTATACGAGCCGGTCAAAGCGTCTCCAGGTTGAAAAAAAGGAAAGAGATGCTTTCCTTAGAAGCCAAATTTCACAGTTGGCAGCTTCATCCATTAATGTCCCCCACTCATCCCAAGCAACTTCCGTCCAACAAGTTATGCAAATTCTGGAAGCAAATCCAGGAATTTAGGTGGACATGTCATTGTATTTGTTCTCTATGATATTGCTTGTAGATTCAACCTGAAGAGAGTTTTTCATGACGATGGTCGCTGACCGTAGGATGACTTACCTATGTTATTTTTATGGAAGCATTGACATTTAAGGGACACTTTTTTTATTACATTCTTGTCTGACATTTTATATTTGTTATTTGTTTATTTACTATGGACATTTTTATTTGTTTATGATTTTCATGTTTATTTAGATATTTATGTTGGTTTGGACATGTCATTTTGCTAGAGAGTTTTTCATTTCTCATTATGTTTTCTATTTAATTCTAGAATGTTATTTGCTTATGTTGGTTTTGTTTATAATGTTATATGATGTAGCTAATTCATTGATACTTATGCTTTAGTCACATCGATAATGAAATATATTGATGCAATTAGAGAAAAACTCAGAAGGAAAGTTGCAGCTGCAGTGCGCTTAATGCACAATTATTATAACCCGTACATAGAGCACTCCCCTCGCATGATATCCTCATATGTTGGCGACAAATGAGTTAGGTAGTTGCTTACAGTCCACCATAACGAAATTTAACAATATGTTTCGAATGTCACAGTCGTTATTCACCTATTGTTAGACGACCTACACAAAAATTATGAACTTCATGACTCGTTCATAACAACTTCATGAAAGGTGTTAGCAATAACCTTCTACATATTATCACATAATGAATCAAATTGATGAGCTATGAAGCGATTTCACCACTTTTCTGAAAAGATTTGCAACACTTTTTTCAGTAGGATTGAATGGACTTGTCACTTTTTCTTCACAAGTCACAGAGCCAATATATTCGACATTTGAATGGACCCCATAGGGATTTCGCCTGAAGCACAACATATGTCATACTTTAAGACAATTTCTCATATTTTTTGCATTTAATTTTCATATAAACATCGTAATTATGTTACCATTCATTAACTTATTATTATTTGTTATTTTAATATTTTTTTCTTAATTTTAATAATCATGTTGCTCACTATTATGTAAAGTGTCTATCTTTATTTATAATGTTATGTACTGAATATTTTCTTTTAAAAAATATTATGTATTGTTAAAAATAGTTATATTACAAATAACATTATTATACAATGACATAATTGTCATTTGTCTAAAAAAACTACACCCAATTATTTTTAAACTGCAACGAACAAATTAATAGTCAACTTATCTGTAAAGAAACTTCTGCACAAGAGTTTATAATTAATCTGCAGCTGTCTCAAACATATCCTTAATCATTGTAGTTCTTTTAATAAAAAAATTTTAAAAGCGAATAAAATATTAATAAAATTAATATAGAACATAAAGGGGGAATTACATGCCAAACATAAGAAACAACATAATCAATTTTTAAATGAGCATTTTTAAAGTGTTTTTCAAATTTTTTATTTATAAGTTGGTTTAAAAAATTCGGTTTAAACTTATTTTAATTATTCCTACTATTCAACTATAATCATCTGCAACCAATTAGAATGGAGGGATCCAGCGTGGCAATCCAGGTGGATCGGACAGAAACACACGGAGAGAGAATCTCGACCTTCCAACAGGACACTATCCGCCGTTAGATGCAGTTGCTTGGGCGGTAATCCAAGACGTCAAATCCCTATAAGTAGTCGTCTCCCTGCTTCTGCTTTTCATTTTAGATCTCTTCAGATTTGAAGTTCTGCTTCTACGAGGGAAAGCGACAAGAAGAGAACTTAGCCGAGGTGCCTAGTTTTATTTTTTTTTCTTATTTATTTATTTATTTTGAGTTTTTGTAAGGGTTCAGTGTTGAACATGCTGTTGTTGATTCGATTTATAATGACTAAAAAGAAATTTAAGTTTAGGATCGAAGCTAGGGTTTTGAAATCTGGTGTTCTACCATGTTATTTCTTCTACTGTTTCCTTTGTTCTATGTTTTGTTTGTCGTTTCTTTTGGTCGTGATCCGTTGCATCACCTATTTCAGCAGCCCTCTTTTGTTAATTTAGCTTCCTTTCATACATTTTATAAATCACGTTAAAATGAATGTCCTGTTAACTTTGATAGCAGAGTATAACCTTTCGTATTAATTGTTTTGTTTACATGTGCTAATGGACCCTAAAAGTTTGATTTTCATGCCCAATTTTGTCTTTAAATATTCACCCTTGGCAAATTATGTAACCTTTCTTGAATCAATTCAACATACATCATAATAAGTACTGCAATAAAATGTGGCTAAAGTCTTTTGTCAAGCAATAACTAGGTCCTTTAATTTTGAACTTTATCAAAATCATTGAATCTATCATGCTATTTAACCAAATCCAAAAAAAATAGAAAAAAACAAGTTCCATTGTATTTTGTTTTTTTAGTAAACTTTAGATAAACAAATCTACAAATCAATCAAATTGATTCATTTCTTTTATTATTCCCTTTACCCTATGGAGTTTTTTAGTGGAAATGCATGATAATTTAATATCTTTTATTAAAAAAACTTTTAAATAAGATCAATGCTGCATATTGAAGCAACTTTTTAATATTAACAAAAAGATGAGATTAATAATGTTCCAACTTCATTTCGTGTATATAAAATGGTGATGCATTTTAAAGTAAAGCAACGGTGAAATTATATACTATGTGCAAATTACAAATCTAATATAAGAAGATGATATATATTTAGCTTAAGGGGTTTTAATAATTACAATTTAGTTTTATTATTTAATAAAATGATATTTATAAAATGAATCTTTTCCATCGAAGAATGAGAATCTTTATTATTGTTTTGTGGTGCAGACAACCTGTGGGTAGGGGTGTAAACGAGCTGAGCTCGAGCGACCTTAGGATTCGCTCATGTTCCGCTTCATTTAAAAATATCATTGTTTGTGTTTTGCTTGTTTATATATTGGGCTCAAAAAATTTGTTTGAGTTTGATTTGTTTGCTTATCTAGCTGAACACGAGCTGTTCACGAACAATAAGTCATTTTGATAGCCTTTAGTCACACAACTCTAAAATGTGAAGGATAGGGGCTAGATTTAAATTTTATTATTTATATTAAAATATTCATTTAAAGAGAATTTTAATACATTTTTATTGAAATTGTTTGATTAATAATTTTAATGGATTATAATCATCATAGTGTTGTGGTTAATTAAATTATTTAAAAGTAATATTTATCAATGTGCATACACACGCACACACATAGAAGTTGTGCGAACTTATGTGAGAATTTGGTAAGCAATTGCGTTATCAGTCGTAAGACTTCTCTGGCTCGGATTCGATCTTTACGAAGACGAATTGTACATATGAGGAGATGAATTCTCAAATACGCACACACATAGAAGTTGTGCGAACTTATGTGAGAATTTGGTAAGCAATTGCGTTATCAGTCGTAAGACTTCTCTGGCTCGGATTCGATCTTTACGAAGACGAATTGTACATATGAGGAGATGAATTCTCAAATACAACTCTTTAATCTCAATCAGTGTATTCTTCAAATTGTAAAGTCAGGGTCATACTGGGATTACTGTCAACCAAATGAATTAAATACTACTGCAATTAGGTAACTTATGCTGTAAATATAGAATTGAAGATTCACGAAAGAGCAGCATGTGTGTGTGTGTGTGTGCGCGCGCGCGTGCGTGCGTGCGTGTGTGTCTGTGTGTCTGTGTGTCTGTGTCTGTCTGTGTCTGTGTCTGTGTCTGTGTCTGTGTCTGTGTGTGTGTCTGTGTGTGTGTGGGGCCTAGCACATGGGAAATTGACATTTGGGCCTCTGCCAAATATCGATTTCCTTTAAAAAAAAAATTGTGTGTGTTAAAAAAAGGAATGGTTGGAGGTTATGGTATGAGCCCCGATCATACATCATGCGCACATAATTCGAGTATTGCACCCTACAATCTAGGGGAATTGAACCCTTGACTAGAGAGGGCTTACAACTGACAAACAGAGGCATGACCAACTGATTTGAATACGCGGCGCATATTTATATATACAATTTGATGATTTCGAGCCAAACAAGCTGGACACGGGTGGACAAATCTTTATTCGTGTTCTACTTGTTTATATATCGAGTGCAAAAAAATTGTTCTTGTTTGGCTCGTTTATTTCATAAGCAAAACAAGAGCTGTTCACGAACAATAAGATTTTTTGACAGTACTACTCGTGAGTAGGGATGTAAATGAGCCGAACAAGTCTCATTGTAGCCTGAGCTCGATATATAAAGGAGTTGAACATGAGTTCGCGGATAACGAGCCGGTTTGATAGCCCTACCCGTGAGGTAATAGCACCTACAAGAGCAAAAAATAACAAGAAAAATAAATCGAGGTTTCTATTCCAAATTGGCAGAAAAATAGAAAGCTTCTTTAGCCATTGCCTATAATACATACGAATAGAAGGCTCACAAGTTAAAAGTTAAAAAGTAATGAGGTATTACTTTCCTCATTAATTAACAAAACACTATTAAAAGAAGAAAGCAATTATTAAAGTATAATAACAAATTAGTAAATCAGAAATAAAATTGTTACGTGGATAAAACTGGTGGGACTCTGTTTGTCCCAAATTGTATTAGTTCCCTTCCACTTTAGAGGAAGTTGACTTGAACTCAAAGTGATGAACCTGTCCTTCATTCAGCATATCTATTTAGCATTCAAGTGGTATGTCTATTTTCACGTTGCAATTGCTGTAAACGATCTACGACATCTGTTGGGCATATCTTCGAACAGCCTCCGAATCGTTATCGGGATATCGGTTATGCCGGTGACAAGGTTTCTCCTCATCTTAGTGAAGATTTTCAAAACTTATTGGCAGTTTGAATCATTGGGGATGCCGTTGATTATGAATCGCCGTGGTGGTGTCACCCGTCATTAGTGTGGGTGCCAAAACAACTGGTATTGTTGCTGGTTTTGTAAGACCCCCTGTCCGGATTTGTTGAAGCTCTAGGCAAACTTTATGCATGAAATGCTGCAGCTCATTTGATATACCATTTACCTTTTGTTCCAATCTGAGTTGATCTTCACGCAATTACTCCCAGCTATGATTGCTGCTGTTTGTGGGGGACAAGCTACTTTCCACCATTGTAGGCTCTGATACCAAATGGTGTAGACAACCCGTGGGGTAACAACACCTGCAAGAGGGGAAAAAACTGAATACTCCTTTAGCCACTACCTCTATAAGGTATAAAAGATTGACAAGATAAAACTATAATGAGGGATCACCTTCCTCATTAATTAACAAAACACTAATAAAAACAGAAAACAACTATTAAAATATAATAGTAAACTAGTAAATAAAAAATAAAACTGTTACCAGAATAAAATTGGCGAGACTCGTTTGTCCCAAACTGCATTATTCTGTGTTCATAATGTAAACTGTGTTGGCGTAGATAATCTTAAAACCATAATTAAGTTAATACTGTTGTATGGAAGAAGGTAACCTTAATTAATAATCTTATAACTTTTTTAGTTTCATATTTTAAAACTACTTACATATTTCAGTTTCATTGTGGGATAAATGAGATGCTAAGTTGACATCGTGGCTTAGATTACAATAGTCAAAATAGTAAATGATTTTAGTAGATAAATGATTGTGGTGATATTTATTGAAAATATGCTAATTGAAGTTTAGATTTTAGTTGTTTTGATTGTATCTAACGACGGGTTAAAAATATGAATTAGACTAGAGAGAAAAATTATTATTAGAGAATTGTTAAATAGATGATGTTTTATCTAAGGTAAAAGTGTGATGAGCGGGAAATGCAAAAACATGCCGTTAAAGTTAAATAGTTGGGAATTTGCTAATTATGATTATTATAACATTTATAATGCAATTTATTATTTTTATTAAGAAAATGCATATTTGATGAAGTGAGGTGAAGTATTTCAGGAAAATTAATCTAGCAACATATTTTAACATGTTTTACTTTCACACTTTCTGCTTTTGTTGTATGATAATTCATTAAAATGCAATATCTGTTGTGCAAAATGATCAGAGTGATTTTGAATTATATATTTTTCTTTTTCCCCTTTTGTTTTTCCATGCTTAGATGGCTCGTACCAAGCAGACTGCTAGGAAGTCCACTGGAGGGAAGGCTCCCAGGAAGCAGCTTGCTACTAAGGTTTCATTTTACTATTACTATTATTGTATCTATTTTGACTCAATTATAATAGTATTGTTATTGTTTTTATCTTATCCCTTCATAGTAAAACTTCATTTTTTTTTATTTTACGTTTTACACACTTTGGTCCTATAGGCTGCTCGGAAGTCTGCCCCTACCACTGGTGGAGTTAAGAAGCCCCATCGTTATCGACCTGGTACTGTTGCTCTCAGGTATACAATTGTCATACTAATCTTGTTTTCATGTGTTCCATTACTCGTGGGTTTCTTTACGAGTAATATGTTTTTCTCACTCTCTTTCTATCTTACCCTCCAGAGAAATTCGCAAGTATCAGAAAAGCACTGAACTGTTGATCAGGAAGCTTCCCTTTCAGAGACTTGTAAGAGAAATTGCTCAGGACTTCAAGGTTGACATAAATTTATATTTATAACTTGGAAAGTTTCTTTATATGGATGCATACTGCTGTTCCACAAAGAAAGGTTTGCATAATCTGGTTCTATTTGTTTGCAGACTGATCTGCGTTTCCAGAGCCATGCAGTGCTTGCATTGCAGGAAGCTGCAGAAGCCTACCTTGTTGGCCTCTTTGAAGACACAAACCTTTGTGCTATCCATGCAAAGAGGGTGACCATCATGCCTAAAGACATTCAGCTTGCCAGGAGGATTCGCGGTGAAAGGGCTTAGAACCAAGCCTACCTCTGCGTTGAACTTCATGCTTTGATAAATTATTTTGATGTCTTTCACCTCGCTGAATTTAGGGTTTTTGAACATTGATCTACTTTTGTTTTGTTGCGTCTATGGTGCTTTGTTATCAACTATATTGGTATGACTTTTGACAGGCTTTTGACAGGGATGTTGCTGTGAAATTTTATGTAGTTTTATCCTGTAATTCTAGCAATGCTGTTGTGAATGGAATCACGAACTGTGTTAAAAATTGTTGAAGAGTGCTGATTTTTGGGTTGTGTTCTTATTGTCTGTTGTGTCAGCCGAGACTAAAATATAATCATGGAACAAAAATATATTTGTCATGGAACTCATGTGAAGAAAGTTGCGTGTTGGCAGGAGGTGAGACATTTTGTTAAGTATCCTAATTGTTCCAGCCAGGGCGATTTTTCTCTGATATTATTAGGCTTGATTATTATTATTATTTTTCAAGCTTTGCTCTTTTTGTATGGCTTTTGTTGCAGCCCATTTATTCGAGCATGACCATATTCTGATGGGCCAAAAAAAGTTATTTGGTTTGGCTTTATGCTAAGTCAACTTTTGGGAGTAAAATATGCACAACAAGAAATGAACCCTGCAGAGCTAAGATATCTACACTAGGTTCTTTACGTAGAAAATTTGTGTAGTGTTGAAGCAATGACTGGATTCACTTTAAGAAATGAGTTTAGCTGGTTTTTTTATGTCACCAACAAATTAAGGGCTGATCCGTAAACATTCTCAACTGTTCTTCGAAATTACTACCAAATAATAAAAAAAAAAGAAACAAAGCTTTTAAAGCAATCCAATCCTCTTCAGCAGTACTCCATGGCCAATGTCACCTTCCTTGCAAAGATCTTTGAAGAGGCGTGTTATCGGAGCTTTTCTCTTGAACTTCTTGAGAATTGTGAGTGCTTCTAAAGTTTAAGGAAAGAAAATTTTAGCGAAAAACTTATCAAAAGAACAGTTAAGAATGCAAAGGTTAGCATATTTAAGACTTATCAAAGGATTCACTTTAAGAATGCAAAGGCAATCCAATCCTAAAAGATGTCGTATTTTTTAAGTCTCAAAACACTTGTGAACAGTAACTAAGTTGCAGGATGCAAAGGTTAGCTGGGCAACTTGCCTGGTTTCCTAGTCATCGCTGTTTATAGAGCAACCAGAAGCAGCTCCCCACGTCAATTCATCAGATCTTGTTTTTTACCCCATGAATCGTTGTGCGTAAATGAATGTTTCCTTTCCATGATCTTTGACAATCTTAAGAGCTTGCTGGTATGATAATCAAATCTTCCGTAACCAATTTATCTTTCTTCAGCCAAATTCGGTATACCAATCAGCGCAGCCTCACCTGTCAAAATACTTTTGCATCGGGTATAACAAAATACGGAGCAGAATGAAGAAAGTGCTGCTCTATTCATAATCTAAAAGCATGACATTGGGCCTTTGCATATATTTCAGGTAAATCTAGTTCATTCACTGTGCTTCCTGATACACTTTCTAATTCTTTCGAAACTCGCCTTTACCTGGCTGAAGCCGGTCCAAGTCAGAAACCTCAATCACGGAAACTTTCCATCTGTTTTCATAAAATCAATGAATCCATAGTCTTAACCCTCTGTTCTCTATTTCATCTATACGTAAATGTAGTCTGATACATCAATCTCAGCAGCATGCTTCCTTATATGCAATCGAATACATTCAAGTTCAAAATGAATCCTTTCAATATCTGAATGCGATGAATCTCCCACCAAAAAAACATGCACTTTATTAGAAATCTCAATCCAACTGTTGCCCGGTTGTTTTTTCACTCCACACCTGTTCATCAGTTCCCTCACTTTACTCGCCTGTTCCCACATTCCACCTGCGGCATACATGTTTGAAAGCATAACATATGCCCCAGAGCATTTTGGATCCTGCTGCAGTATCTTTTCAGCAGCTACTTCTCCTAGTTTTAAATTTCTGTAAACGTGGCAGCCCCCCAGCAAAGCACCCCAAACTGTACTGCCCTTGGCTTCAAACGGCATCTCTTTAACAAGCTCCCAAGCTTTATCCCACATTCCTGCCCTGCTCAGAATGTCCACTATACAACCATAATGTTCAGGCGTTGGGGCTATCTCATATCCAGATACCATTAGATTAAACCAGTCTAGGCTCTCATCAGCCTTTCCTGAACCTCTACAGCCTGATAGGAGACCAAGAAAAGTTAACCCGTTTGGTATAAATTTATTTGCTTCCATATCCACGAAAAAGGCCATCATTTTCTGATACAATCCGTGTTGTGCAAATGCTGCAATTATGGTATTCCATGAAACCAAATCTCGATTCTGCATTGTTTGAAAGACCAACTCAGAATCATCAATGCTACCACATCTGCTATACATACTCATCAAGGCATTACATAAAGAGATATCAAACTCCAGCCCAGACTTTATGGATATTGCGTGGCTTTGCCTTCCTCTCTGTAGTAAAGAAAGAGCAGAACATGCTGTTAATAAACCAATAATGGTTGCATGATCTGCTCTCATGCCTGCTTCCATCATCTGAACATGCAGTTTCAGCGCTCTTTCACCATAGCCATTATGGGAGTATCCTGCAATTCATGATGAAACTGCTTATCGGTAATTCTAATAAGATCTGAAGCTAGAAAACATGAGCAATCAGTTCTTCAAATTTTCACTGAAATGCTTTGTTTTTTATACCGGCAATCATGGCATTCCATGAGATAATATCTTTGTGCAGAATCCCATCAAAAAGGGTTCTTGCAGCTTCCACCTTCCCCTCTTTACAATATCCAGTGATCATTGCAGTGATTGCGACCACATTCTTCTCCCGCATCTGAAGAAAAAGACATTCTGCTTCTTTAAACCTCCCATTCTCGACATACCCACTAATCATGGCAGCCCAAGACACCGAATTTCTTTCAGGCATAACATCAAACAGCTGCCGAGCACAATCGATCTTCCCGTCGCGAGCGAACCCATCGAGCATTGCTGTATAAGAAATCACATTTCGGTTCGCCATTTCCCCGAACAGCTTCTCTGCTTCGTCCATCCGATCAAATCTAACAAACCCGGATAACATTACGTTCCAGGATTGCAGATTCCTGTCGGGCATCTCGAGGAAGTAAGCAAAAGCTTCGTCTACGAGGCAGCTGTGGAGGCAGCCGGCAATCATGGTGTTCCAGGAGACAATATTCCTCTCGCGCATGGAGCTGAAGAGTTTCTTGGACTCCGACAGGTTGTTGTTCTGCCAGTGAGCTGTGATGATGGCGTTCCAGGAGACGACGTCGCGGTTGGTCATTCTGTCGAACAGGTTGCGGGCTGCGGCGATTTTGCCGGCGCGACCCAGGGATCCAATCTCGAGGTTGTGGCGGGTGATCTCGCGGGGAGAAAGGGTGGTGATTTGAACGGAGAGGTGCCGGAATTGGAAGAAAGATGGGAGTTTGCGCGAGTTTCGCATTTGCAGGACTTTATCATATGCCGGGCACGTTTGGGAGGTTTTGCTGTGTTTTGAAATATACGGATTTTAAATTTTAGAGTATTTGATTAATGGTAAAATTAAAAATATTATTTTGATGAATTTAAAAATTTTAAAATAGCATATTTTGGATGTATTTTTAAATCGCTTGGACTGCACGAATTTAAAATACATTGTCCACGGGGACATTCAGCACATAATAGCTCTTCCTTCGTAATGTTTCAGCATGGGAGCCAAAGTCAGCCTTTTGCCAGTTCTTCCAAACAATATAATGAGCTCTAGGATAAGAGAGCCATATCTCATCAAGTCTAATCTAGTTAGATCTTTGCCTGTCGGTTTGGACCGCACCAACGAGTAAAAGTGGGCAGTGATCTGAAGCTTTGCGGTTAAGATGCCTGACTTGAGCATGCGGGATAGCTTGGCAGGCTGCGGTATTGACCAGAACACTGTCATGCCATACCCAAATTTTACTTCTCCCTTGCTTATCGTTGCTCCATGTGAATCTTAGGCCATGAAAGTCATTAGATTGCATAAACTCCTCCATTTCTTGCGCTTCAGTAGTGAAATGAAAGGGTTTGCCGCCTTTCTTGTCATCTTGGGAAATTATACAGTTGTGATCTCCCACAAGAATCATAGGGATACTAATATCAGAAATTGATGAGATACTTTGCCATAGTTGTCTTCTAATATGAAGGTCTTTGCTTGTATACTCCACAGCCACTAACCAATGACTCTGTCCCGAAGTCTTGATCCAGCCAACAATGCATTGGTCATTTTGCATCAAAACCTTGAAATTGGTAGAATCTACGCTATAGAAGGAGAATGTCAACCTGATTTGCCTCTTGCCGGTTGGTGTAAAAACTCCCAATTAATGCCAATAAGTTTGTCGATATCCTTTGGAGAACGAGGCCCACCATCTGTACATTGTCTTCAAGGACAATATGCTTGAGATAGTTCTGACAATATTTTCATTATCCCAGTATTGAAGTGGTAGGTGAGGAAACTGGACCTAAACCGAGGATGAAAGACCTCGCACAGGGACAAATTAGAGGGTCCATCAATCCATACCAATAACATCTCTAGCAACAATCCACTACCCTACACACAACACAACATCTCATGCTTCCGATGTTTCAAAATTACTTATGAAACAGTCAGCACTAACCATAATCAAATGAAAAATATCAAACTAAGACCATTCCATATCAACTCAACCTTCAGCAGATGGATGGGAAACTTTTTGCCCATCAATTTACCAATGTTGACCTCACTTTTGGTTGAGGTCTAGAAATTTCTTTAGTAGCCTAGGTCTAGCTATAGGACTTTCCTACTGACTAGTCTTAGAAAACTAGAAAAGGTACCCTCACCATTAGAAACTCAAAACTCTTCTCTTTACTCAACTTGAAGTTCCACATATTGGTCCTAACCTCTAGCACTTAGTAGGTAAGATCATTATGAGGGAACTCAAGGAGAGATTAAATGATTGACTACTTGACCTTAGGATTGACCCTGGGTGTTGGTTTGGAGCTAAGGTACACAATCCCCTCACAATACCCACACCATACCCTCACCATACCCTCACAATACTCTGGCTAAGACCAATATATGGGAACCCAAAATGGAGATTTCATTGGTCCATGACTCATTTAAAATGGTTCTCTACCCAATTGCACTTGAAATGCCCAACTTGGCCTTTTGCCCCTAGGCACCTCCAAATTACCTAACTGGCCCTTGGGACCCAAATTTGGCCAAAATT